TGCTCGGGGCGGGGTGGGGGGGGCAGAGCCCTGGGGTACTGCCAGGCTGGGCTAATGATGCTCATTCGCTGTATGCGGGGCAATCGCGACCGAGAAAGGCTGCGGAGGAGACAAAAGGCTTAAGCTGTAGGCAGGGCTAGGACGAGGCTCCAGAGACCTCACGACCATCTAGCCCCAGCCCCAGCGCTAGCCCCAGCTGAGCGGGTCATTTCTAGAGCCCATGCAAGAAGGTCCTTGCAGCTGCGTTGGGCATATGAATGGCCCCTCTGCCTACCTTCCCTCCCCATGCTTCCACTGTGTCCCTTTTTGGATCCCGGAGAGGGAGCTAGTGTTTTTAAGGACGCATAAACGGAGGGCTTTATATGGCCACCAAGCCGGGTGGGTCACCCGACCTCAATCTAGTCTCTAACCTTACTACCAACGCAACCTGGAGCTCCAAAAGGCGTCAGAGGATCTTTTCCAAACGGCCTTGACCCCTGCACCAGATCTTCTCTGGTCAGTCCCACCCACTCCCCTGCACGAGCAATTTTATCTCTCTGTCTCCAGCACTGCAGAGGCCTGCTGCTCTGCGAAATCCCTGGCCTGACCCGGTATAGGGATCGTGACGCTGGCCCTCCCCCACCCTTCTTGAGCCCTGCGACCCTAGCCTTTCCACCCGGACCACAGCTTCTCCAAAAGCTGGAAACTAAAATTTCTGTCCCATCCCGGCAGGCAGAATCGCCCCAGAGGCGCCTCCGGGTCCTGGCGCTGGTGTTCGGAGACGGCGCAAGTCGCGTACAGCGTTCACTGCACAGCAGGTGCTGGAGCTGGAGCGACGATTCGTCTTCCAGAAGTACTTGGCACCATCAGAGCGCGACGGCCTGGCTGCACGACTGGGCCTGGCCAACGCGCAAGTAGTCACTTGGTTCCAGAACCGTCGCGCCAAGCTCAAGAGGGATGTGGAGGAGATGCGCGCCGACGTGGCCTCTCTGTGCGCGTTGTCTCCGGGAGTCCTGTGCCACCTGGCACTGCCAGACAGTGCTTCAAGACCTGACTCTGGCCCTACAGGGCCTGATTCCGAGCCCCACTTATCGGATGAAGAGATACAAGTGGACGATTGAAAGCAAAGCCTCCGCCAGCCCTGAATTCCAGGACCCTGGACTCCTCTATACTATACTAAGGGACTTGTCTGGGTTCCGGGGTGGAGGGGAGAGACCCACTTAGCCCTGATCTGTCCCTCAGGCCACACTCCTTTTTTTATTATTATTATTCGTTGAGAATAAAACCGCTGCTCTGCTTCAAGGTGCCCCAATCCCGGATGCCCGTAGCCCAAACCAACGCAACCTGCTACTTACTGGGAAATTGGTTCTGTTTTGCGGCTCCTTTAAAGCATTGTGCTTCTTTTAGCCCTGGTAGCAACCCTAAAAGGTAGGTGTCTGGCTATGCTCATTTTCCAAAAGAAGCCTGTGGTCAGGATTTGGACGAAAGCATCAGCTACCCTTCGGAGAACCCCTCCGGCTGTCTTACACTGGGTGGAGAGGAAGTGGGCAGGACTCTAGTGGTGGCTTCCGGGCCACTACCCCCTACTGGCCACCTTTGTTCCCAGGACTCTGTCCGCAGACTTGGAAACCTCAACATTAAACTTTGTGTTGTCCCTATGTGATAACGTGATTCTTTGCTTTCCCTGCTCTTAATCAAGGTTTACTAGGTTCCCTGCATTAAACGCTCCACACTAAGCCTAGTGTGGGTGCACACCCGTGATCCCAGCACTTGGAAGGTGGAGGTAGGAGGATCAAGAGTTTTGGGTCAGCCTGGGCTACATCACACACCCACACCCACCCACCCACACACTCACACCAATAATCAAAGAACTCTATGATGGGACATAGTGACATACCAGGGTCTGGAGAGAGGGCACGCCCACTTCTACCTCTGGGATTTCTGTCCAGGTTTGGAGGCATAGGGGCTGTGCACACCTGACTCATGAGAGGAGCTCAAAGTATCTCTGACTGTCACAAGGATATCTTAGCCTGACCCCACTGCTGACATCTCTGACATTCATTTTGCTGGCCACTGATCGCCCTCCTGCAGAGGCACTGGGGAGGGACAGGGAGTACTGAGTAGTTACAGGCCCACCCTGCCAGTCTTTAGGAGACCACCATATAGCTAGGGCCTCAGCTGCAGGTGGAGGGCCAAGAATAGGAGATTCCAAGGAGGATGAATAAGGCTGGAAGGCAGGAGATATCCTGGTGTCTTCACACAAGAACCAAGTGCTTTGTGTGAATTAATCAGCACAACAGTCCAACTGACAGGCTTTTAGTCTGGTGGTAGGAAAGACCAAGGACACTCACTGGTTTTGTAGGTGGTAAGACAGGGTTTGTCTTTATGCATTTCTGACACAAGTTTTTGTTTTGTTTTGTTTTTTTTGAGACAAGGTAACATTTTCTCTGTGTAGCCTTGGCTGTCCTGGAACTCACTCTGTAAACCAGGTAGATCTTGAACTCACAGAGATCTGCCTGCCTCTGCCTCCCAAGTGCTGGGATTAAGGGTGTGGGCCACCACACGGGGCACACTTAAAAATATTATTTTATTTTCATCTTACATATATGACTGTTATATTTGCACGTGTGTGTGTGTGTGTGTGTGTGTGTGTGTGTGTGTGCCTGGTGCCCACACTGCCAGAGAAGGGTGTTGGATCCCCTGGAGCCCAGTTGTGAGCTACCCTATGTGCCCACGTCAACTGGGAGCTGAACCTAGGTCCTCTGCAAGAACAGAAAGTGCCACTTCTCCAGTCCTGAAATGTTGTTTGTCCCCACCCCGGATCCCGGGGTGCTAGCCCTATAGAAGGGACTAAGAAGCAAAAGTTCCATAGGGCGGGAGGCAGGAAAACCAAGAAGGAAATTGGAGTAGACACTGTGCTGTAAACAAGGCATTGTCTTCAAGGCTGTAGGGAGCCAATCAGAAGAACACTGCTTAGAGTAGGCTGATAAGATGGTATGCAAGAGCCTGGCGGAGGTCTTTGGCCCCTGCAGCAGGTAGCAGCAGAGAATTCACAGTCGGACTAGAAGTGTGGAGGCAGTCACAGAAGGGAATACTCGTGATTCGCTTAGTGACTGGAGCTACATGATTGACAGCCTTATACACTCAATAACTGGAAGGAAATGGCACTGGACAGAAACTGTGACCACTGATATATGAAGTATCAAGGGTGACCTTGAACTCCTGACCCTTCCATCTTCTCTTCCCGTGTGTTGAGATGACAGGCATGTGTCCCCACTTCCCATTCTGTTTTCTAATCAAGGTACCATTTTCTTTGTTTGTGAGAGACCAGCTAAGCGCTTCTTCTTCCCCATATCATCCTAGCAGTCTGATGAGACTCTGATTTTTTTCCCATGGCCCTTACTAGTTCATGTTCGGGCTGAGCTCTGGGAATACTATTTTGGTTTCTCTAGTTTTCCTCTGAACTCCCCTCATCTTTGTTTCTCACAGATTGCTTTTTTTCCCTGATGGCTTCTTTGACTTCTTTTGGCTCCATGTTTTCTTGAGTTTCCTTAGATGAAAGTGGAACCCTGGACAGTGGTGGAGCACGCCTTTAATCCCAGCACTCAAGAGGCAGAGGCAGGTAGATATCTGTGAGTTCAAGGCCAGCATGGTCTACAGAGTGAGTTCCAGAACAGCCAAGGCTACACTAAGAAACCCTGTCTCAAACAAACAAACAAACATCTGTCAATCATGTTCAAAATATATTCTTTGCAATTGCAGCACCCTTCCATATGCATAGGTATCCCAACAACCCTGGTGCCAGTCCCGCCATGCTCCATCATCGCCTTCTAGACTTCCTGTGTGGGACTTTTCCAGCAGGCAGTCCTCTCTCTCGGGTTGCCCAGCACTGCTGGGTTTTAGCACTGGTTTCCAGCACCCCCAGGAAACCCAGGAGGGCTGGACACCTCTGAACTTGAGCTGCTGAAAGAGCTCAGTAGTTTGTGTGCAGCAAGCATGGGTAGGGTATCAGACGATCTTGTGACTCAGGTTCAGACCAGCCTGAGAAGTCCTGGGGAGGGGACATTATTTAAAGATGTGTCCAAAAGCCAGTGTGAGAATAGCTATGACTGTCCCAACACAAAATGGTAAATTTACTGAAAATATTGAAAGGGCTTTCCACCCCTGCTCCTGTGGGGGGGGGGTGCTAATTTTCATGTAAATATGATTGCATGGATATTTTTGTATGTGTATGCATCTGTGTGCCAGTGTGCATGCATGCATGTCAGAGGTCAGTAACAGATGTCTTCCTCAATTGCTCTCTGCCCACTATGTAGACTAGACTGGCCTTGAACTCTCAAGAGATTCACCTGTCTCTGCATGTGCTATCATGCCTAGCTCTCCCTTATTTGAAGAAGAAGAAGAAGAAGAAGAAGAAGAAGAAGAAGAAGGAGGAGGAGGAGGAGGAGGAGGAGGAGGAGGAGGAGGAGAAGAAGAGAAAGAAAGAAAGAAAGAAAGAAATGATGAGCCACCATGGTATCAAATCCCTTTGATCTCAGCTCTTGGTGGGATGGGGCAGAAATAGCAGATCTCTGACTTTGAGGCTAATCTGGTTTACATAGTAAGTTCCAGGTCAGCCAGGGCCATAGAGTGAGACATTACCTTAAAAATAAAAGTGTCAAGCAATAGAGGAAGACACCTAATATACTCTTCTGGCTTCCACAAGTGTGTATGTGGGTACAGCACACATCTCTCTCATATGTGCACCACACACACACACACACTCAAAGAATGTGAACAGTGATTCTCTAGAAGGCTTACTGAACACTGATTACTGTGAGCTCAATGCTCTACAGCCTGATTGACATTCCCGGCCTGGTGGAGGCAAATGTTTGCATCTATCAGTTTCTGGGTGATGTTGATGGTACTGGTCTCTTCCACACATGGATATCCACAGTCCCAGGAATTCTGGACTTTACAAGAATCGGTTTATTTAACAACCTGTATGGATAGTTTCTCAACCTTCTCCTTTAGTCCTCTACCTACTCTGTGAGGCAGGGATTGCCTCTATTGTGTAAATAAAGGGACTGAGCTCAAACACTGAGAGACTAGCCACAGCTAACCACTGCTGATTTTATCTTGCTTCAGCACTTGTAAGGTACCAAGCATTAAACAACTAAAAAAATTGTCCAAGGCCTATAGAAAAGAGATGTCTCAACAATTACAAAAGGGAAGAGGTTGGAGATTTGGTTTGGTGGTAGAGAGCTTGCTCTATCCCCAGCAATGGAGGGGTGTGGAGGGAGGGGAGGGAGAAGCCAATTGCAATGCCAGCATCAGGGAGTGTGGAGCTGTGTTAACAAGGGCTGCTCTTACAGGGAATCTGGGTTTAATTCCCAGCACCCACATAACGGTTCACAACCATCTGTAACTCCATTTCCAGAGGATTCCATGTCCTGTTCTGGACTCCACAGGCACCATATATACAACTGGTATACAGACCTATATGCAGGCAAAACACTCTTACACAGAAAATAAAAATAAAATTAACATTTGAAAAAGTATTTTGGCTGGGTGTAGTGGTGCATGCCTTTAATGCCAGCACTTAAGACGAAAAGAGGCAAGCAGGTCTCTGTGAGTTTAAGGTTAGCCTGGTCTATGTAGTGAGTTTCAGGACAGCCAGAGCTACATAGTGAGACCTTGTTTTGAAAACAAAACAAAATAAAAATATGTTTATTGTGCTAAGTAGTGGCACACACCTTTAATCATAGCACTGAGGAGACAAAGTTATATTCTAACCTGATTTACATAGTAAGTTCAGGGTCAGCCAAAGTGACGTAATGCACACGTGTGTGCGTGAGTGCATGTCTGTGTGTGTGAGTATGTAGATGGGGAGGGGGGAGGACATGGGACATGTGTGGAGGTCAGAAGTCAGCCATGTAGGTTCCGGGGATCAAACTAAGGTTTTCAGGCCTTGTGGCAAACGTATTGACCCACTGAGCCGTCTCTGCAGCCTGATTTCATTATTGTGGCAGTGCAGTGAGGATGAGGTTGTTTGAACTTTTACATGGAGTGTAATAAGCCATGTTCTGAATGTACTAACTCCCTATGGGAGTCATCCACTCCCTATGACTCCATGATGTAGGGTTTGTGAGTATCCTCATTTAAACATTTTCAAAGATTTATTTTACTTTCTACTTTTTTTTTTTGAGACAGAGTCTCTCTACCTGTCCTAGAATTCACTATGCAGACCA